GTTGGATAGAGGATTTGGGATAAATAAGACAGGTAGAAAAGTAGATGATGTGATAATTCCTTCCACTATGAGCCAAGAATGTAACAATGTTATCGAGTCACATCAACAATAAGCATTCCAAATTTGACATCTGCTTAGAAAAAATAAAGTCTTATCCATTTTCTGTACCAAAAACGCCTTGCTAAACGGACAAATCGAGCCGACATGTACAGTACGTAGTCCTTCCTAAATCAGCATCAATTCTGTGAATTATTTTGCACCTTTCCCCTTCGCCTCGTTCTCGCTCAATTCCCTTATGTATATCTTTGTCAATCCCTCTCCACAATAATCCTCTTGTCCATTCTCGAATCCTGGACACACGCCTACGGCCAAAAACCTTCCGTCACTCGAAAACGACAAGGCGGCCACACTTGTTGGATATTTCTGATATTGTCTAATTCTCCTTTTCGCAACGGCGTCCCATAATGCAACGACTCCATCACCGCCTCCGGAAGCAAATGTGCCGTGATTGGGGTGAAATGCGAGAGCATTAACTGGATATACGATGTCTGTTCCATCACCTGCAGCGTCGGGCTGGCGATGACATTTGAAAGCGTATTTGCGAGCTTGGGATTCGGGCGAGGGATCGAACCATTCGACAGCCACACGGCCTTCGATGGATGAGGAGGCGTAACCATCATCGTTGGGCATGCAGGCTACGGCACGGGTCATGAATTTGAGAGAGGATTCGCGTTGTTGCCAGGGCGTTTGGGAGGGGTCGGTGGAGAGGGGGAGGGAATAGATGTAAAGGAGTCGGGAGGCCATGGCGACTACGAGTTTGGTGGGGGTGAGTGATAGGGAATGCGGTTTAGAGGGGAGGGGGATTGTCGTTGGGGGTTGCGAGGGGTCGGAAAGATTGTGGATGTGGAGGGTCTGGTCCCAGGAAGCAGAGATAAGGAAAGCTTGGTAGAATTATCAGTACTTTGTGATAATCGAGCTATGCGACAATGGCGAAACTTACAGTGTTCTTTACTATAGACCACCGACTTGACCGGCGCCTCATGCGTACTCAGTACCGTTTGTTTTCCGCTCTCTAAATCGATCCTATTGCAAATTAGTATCTTAAGCCAATACAGTTAATTTAATGAAAACAATGGGCAGACGCACCGTTTCACCTGCCGATCCATTCCAGCCGTAAATGCCTCAGTCTCATCACCCCCAAAACAAACATCCAGTACCGGCGCCCGATGCTCATAAGTTCCAACGAGCTTCCCCCCTTCGGAAACATTCTCTGTGTTATATAGATAAACTTTCTTATCCCAAGAGGAAACGAGTAATTTAGTAGGGGTGAACGGCGAGAATTGTAAGGAAGATACTGCATCGGTGGGAGGCTCCGAGAGCTCGAATTGCACTGCTGGAAACATATATTAGCATCCTGGATTCAACTTGAGAATGGAGAGCTTGGTTACCTGGCGCCATGATATGATTGTATGAAAAATTGAAATGATAGAGAAGGTAGCGCTATATTTTCTATGCTTTAAACAATGTAGATTCTGTGATTGTAAAATGTGGAAAATAGTGTTACGACAGTGATAAAAATCATATAGTTGCGCACTTTAACCTGGACGAGAGTATTCAGGTCCAAGTGAATAATTTAGAATGGGTCTGGTCTTGAGCTGCCTTTCTGTATGAGGCTTAGTGCCTCTTCTCAGCACTTTCGTTAATCCTGCCGTAAGGTTACTCACCGCCCGCTATATTTGTCAGCCTTGCATCCAGCCTTTCAACTTTTTGAAGAAAGTGCCCCTCTCCGAACTCACCAACAACTCTTTCAAAATCCCCGGGACAGTTTTTTTCGATATCGTGGAACTCCCAGCTTTCCAAATCTGCAATAAAAATTGCACTTTCCCAAAAAGCCCCAAAGTTGAAAGTGCTGACAGATGTGCAACAAAACTTTCGGGAAGTTCTGAGGATAAGCTAATATTGGTAGGTTATCATAACTTCACAGCTTTCTTCACCATCTTATTTACGGATTTGACATCAGATATTGGATGTTTTAATATATACGAAAGACAAATCTGAAGGAATCAATACTGTTATCTAATACGTCAAAGAAATAGACCAGACTTTTGGCACCTCCCATCAACGAACCACTTCTCGCCGTCATAACACGGCTATCATAACATCACATCACAACCACCACAACACACGCATTCAAGACAGCACAAGATGCCTTTCGCACAGCTCGTACTTGGCTCTCCCGGTGCTGGAAAATCCACCTACTGTAATGGCATGCAACAATTCATGTCTGCCATAGGTCGCAAGTGTTCCATCGTCAATCTCGACCCCGCCAATGATCATACGAGCTATCCTTGCGCCATCGACGTGCGCAGTTTTATAAAACTCGAAGATATCATGGAAGAGGATTCATTGGGTCCCAATGGCGCCGTACTCTACGCACTTGAGGAATTAGAACAGAATATGGAGTGGTTGGAGGAGGGACTGGCGGAGTTGGGCGAGGATTATGTACTTTTCGATTGTCCAGGACAGGTCGAACTTTATACACATCATTCGTCTTTACGGAATATTTTTTTCAAGTTGCAGAAATTAGGATATAGAGTACGTTATTCAGTTTCATGTTGCGAGTCTACTTTAAATAAGCAACATACTGACATCTGTGCAGCTTGTAGTTCTCCATCTTTCCGATTCCTATTGCTTGACTTTGCCTTCATTATACATCTCGAATCTCATCCTCTCTTTGCGAGCAATGCTGCAAATGGATTTACCACATCTGAACGTTTTGACGAAAATGGACAAATTGGCTTCGTATCCACCACTTCCTTTCAACTTGGATTTCTACACCGAAGTCCAAGATCTTTCACATTTGCTCCCTAGCCTTCAAGAAGAATCGTCGGTAATGAGGGGTTCGAAGTTCGAGGGTTTGAATAAAGCAATTACACAACTTGTCGAGGATTTCGGGTTGGTGGGATTTGAGACTCTAGCGGTGGAGGATAAAAGAAGTATGATGAATCTACTCCAAGTGATAGACCGTGCTGGAGGATATGCTTTTGGTGGTGCAGAGGGAGCGAACGATACTGTGTGGCAGGTGGCTATGAGAGAAGGTACCACAACGATGGATATAAAAGATGTTCAAGAGCGATGGATCGATCGCAAGGACGAGTATGATGAAGCCTATCGAGAGATGGAGAAGCAGCAGTTCGAGGCGCAGTCCAAGATGCAGGAGGAGGAAGAGAACTCGAGAGCTGCTGAAGATGATGATCTCGAGGAGATGGCTCGGGCACCATTCGATTCGGGCGTAAAAGTTGTTAGAACAAATCAATGATATCCTCATCCATTTCCGTCACTTAATTCATCATCTTCATCACTATCGACCGCATCCACCATCCTGACATCTTTCGCGGATTCCGCAGTAGTCTCCTTATTTGTGCCAAACATCTTCCCCAGTGTAGATTCGCTTTGTTCCCCTAGGTCTCGGCGGGCCTTTAATATCATCTCCCTTGCCCTTCTAATAGCTTCCTCCTCGGCCTTCCTTATCGTCCCACTAACCCTCACAACCCTGAATACACAATTTTTGCCATTTTTGATAGGCAAACTATTCATCAATGACAAAGCCGCCCACACAATCCTATAATGCGCTCGCGAAACCCGTAGAATGAATGTCGATGTTGCAGATGACAAATATTTCACTACATTTCAATAATATCAGTATCCATCCTCAGATTACTATCTTGTCCAATCATAAGTGTTTGAAAAGAGAAAAAAACATACCAGCAATACTATCCGCAATCGCACCACTGCCATAGTCTCCAAATAGATTCGCAACTTCCATCTGGATTCCCCTTAGTAGTGCCCGCGGATTCAGCGCATCAACGGTTGGTTGATTGAACAGCACTACATCTGGCAGTTTCTCCTTACTACCCAAATCTTTCTCCAGTTCCGGATAGAGGATATTGACCAAAAGGTATCGGTTTTTAATTCGTACCATGGTTGTTGAGTATTGATACGTGAATTGATTTGGAACGCGCTGGGACAGAGAAAAAAAAGTTCAGGAGACGCGACTTCTTGTGACGTCCGAGCTGGGATCGGATCGTTGAAGTAAGTGGGGAAGCTTGGGAGGGGAAGTGACGACGAGAATCTTCAACTCACTCGACAGGATAATTGAGAATGGACAAACAGACTTTGAAAGCAGCGATTCTTGTTGTATCGACCACCGCAGCTAAAGATGCATCGACAGACTCCTCAGGGCCTATATTAAAAGATGTTTTTGAGGAGATAGGCGGCCAATGGGAAGTCGTAGAAACGAAGATGGTGACTGATAGTGTAACGGATATTCAGAGAAGTGTGATGTCTTGGACGGATCAGGAAAATGCTGTCAACGTTGTGATCACTACTGGTGGGACTGGATTTGCCGTCTCAGATAATACTCCCGAGGTAATACAGCTTCACAGAGTATCGTGCGTATGCTAAAATGCATGGCTATAGGCTATTGCACCCCTTTTACACAAGCAAGCCCCGGGACTTGTTCATGGAATGCTTGCAGCTTCATTGGCAGTCACTCCTTGTAAGTATAATATGGAAAATTCACAAGTGCGGATAGTCTGTTGACTGGTAGTAGTTGCTCTCATGTCAAGACCTGTAGCCGGAGTTCGTAATAAAACAATAATCGTGACATTACCTGGATCACCCAAAGGTGCTAAAGAGAACCTTCAATCAATCTTGAAGCTCTTACCACATGCCTGCCTTCAGGCTGCAGGAGCCGATTCCCGAGAACTTCATGCGGGAGGTGTGAAGAAGCTTGAAAATGATGCCGGAATTGGCTCTGCGGTGTCTTCTCGGCCAGCACATTCACATAACCACATTCATTCTCATAGTCACTCGCACGACCATGGACATAGTCATAATCATAGTCATGGACACGCAATGCCCGTTAGACATACTGCGCCAGATGAGAATCCTCGATCAAATGATCCTGCTCTTGGTCCAACGCGACGCAGTCGTTCATCACCTTACCCTATGATATCAGTCGATGAGGCTTTAGGACTAATTGAAACACACACTCCTCCACCACAAGCCGTGGAAGTGGACGTAAATGGAGATATTGTAGGATCTTTTCTAGCGGAAGATGTCACGGCAAATGAAGCTGTCCCAGCATATCGCGCCAGTATTGTAGATGGATATGCGGTTATTGCCACAGAAGGGAAATCAAATAAAGGCGTATTTCCTGTAGCATCGATATCCCATGCCACTGCGGGTGAGCATCCTCTTCTTGAAGAAGGTCAGATTGCACGCATTACAACTGGTGCACCCCTTCCGCCTGGAGCTACTTCTGTAATAATGGTCGAAGATACTGTACTTAAAACGATGACGGAGGACGGTAAAGAGGAGAAAGAAGTCGAAATATTAGCTGATGTGGTCAAACCTGGTGAGAATGTTAGGGAAATCGGTAGCGATATCAAAGCTGGATCTGTCATAATGCGTAAAGGAGAGGAAATATCTGCCAATGGTGGCGAACTCGGTTTACTCACCTCTGTTGGCAGAGCAAAAGCTATTGTTTACAAGAAACCAATAGTCGGTGTTCTTTCTACTGGTGATGAAATAGTCGAACACAATAGACCTGGCTCTCTTAGATTGGGGGAAGTTCGTGATTGCAATAGGCCAACAATCATGGCAGCGGTGCGAGCTCTAGGATTCGAAGTCGTAGATCTTGGTATCGCTCGAGATAAGCCAGGAGACTTAGAACAGACACTGCGGGATGGACTTCGAAAGGTTGACGTCGTCATCAGCACAGGCGGTGTATCAATGGGCGAGCTAGATCTTCTAAAGCCAACTATTGAGAGATCTTTGGGTGGAATAATTCATTTTGGGCGTGTTTCGATGAAACCAGGAAAACCAACAACCTTCGCAACGGTACCGGTGAAGAACAATGATGGCGAAAGAGTTTCAAAGGTCATATTTTCTCTGCCAGGAAATCCAATCTCCGCTCTAGTTACTCTCCATTTGTTTGTTCTGCCTTCTCTACATCGCGCTTCTGGAATATCTCCCGTAGGATTGTCGAAAGTTCCAGTAACTCTATCACACGAGTTTCGTTTAGATCGTCAAAGGGTTGAATACCATAGAGCGATAGTAACAATCGCCAAGGATGGTCTTTTGTATGCAAGTAGCACTGGTATGCAACGTAGCTCAAGGGTTGGAAGCTTGAAGAGTGCAAATGCATTATTGTGCTTACCAATCGGATCAGAGGATTTACCGAAGGGGACAAAGGTCGAAGCGATGCTGATGAGTAGAGTCAGAAGTGAATATGAGATTTAGTAGTCTTTAACTGGCAAATGAAAAGATTTTATAGAGATGGCTGCTGGTGATTGGCTATATAATGATGTCAGGAAACGTGAAATATAATTAAATAAAAGTGAATAACAAAAATTCTCATCGCTTTGATTGGAAAGAGCTCTTTCCCCCTCTCTTTCTTGCTGTCGAGGATCTAGAACATCCTTGACATGGTCTTTTCCCCCTCCTTCCCTAAGTACTTTCAAGTCTTCATCGAATATTTTGATTCTTTGCAACCACAACAATATTCCTCATTTGGATACACGTTCTTCATAATGTGTCAATTCGAATATTATCAATATGAACAATGTGGTCATAAATCTATCGAAATCACAGAATATTGCAATGAAGTTTTCTGGAAAGCTGGCATGACAGCTCACCTTATACCATGTCCCGAACAGAATTTCAGAGCATTCTTTGTCAGAATTGGCACCTTAGATGGTATGGATTTTGGTTCGTGTCGCTGGATCGGACTTGCTGGATATTGCAAGATGTGTGAAGAAGAATACAAGGTATGTGCGATTTTGTATGATTGTTTGTATATGCTTGGACAAGGTCACAGATCGAAAGGACTAGCAGCTTGCATAACTATATGGGTAGAATGTAATACCGCGATCCATTACTAACTCTTTACAGATGCCAAAAAGTATTCCTAGCCGCACATATCGTGATTATGAGTTTCTTGAAGGCGTTGGTAACCTCACTGCCCCCATCTTCGCGGTCAAGTTGGCTGAACCTATTGCATACCCCGCGCCATCCACATCGATGCGGTACTCTTCTACGTTTAATGACGGTGTCACTCAAGAAATCCTTGACAACGAGATTGCCCAATCCTCAATTCCCCCACGTGAGTACAACACGTTCTCCCATTATACGTTGCCTGATATTCAAAGTCATTCGAATATTTTAGCTTCTGTATCTACCTCATTCCCTAGTGCTAGCCAAACCTCTCGTTTTTTTCCTGATAACTTTCTTGAAGTGTACTGACTCCGCCTTTTTTTAGATGTAGCAACACCTATCGTCGGACAGAGCCTATTGGTTCGTAGACTCAAGGCTTCACTCCATCATCCCTATATCTTCACTCCCCATATCAACAATACGAACGCAGCTTTGATTTCGGTTGAAGATCAGGATATCGCAGCTTTGGTCTCGGGTCAAGATAAGGATACTCCCGATCTGACCCAGGATGCTTCCGAGTCTAAGGGTGAAATCCTAGAAATTTACTTCCCGCCAAAGCTTCAATGGTACGAACTAAACCAAGGCGTCGATGGTACCACTTTGCAATGGAGAAGCCGAGGCTATCACGAAGGCCAAATGATGGAGCTTCCACCAAGCAAATACTTATGGACCCATGCTGGATTGACCCCTGCGGATGAGCAGTATGTTGTGAATAGATTGAAGGATGGCGTACCATTGAAAATTGTCTGGCGGTAAGTTTGACGATGTCCCTGATTCTCATTGTTCTTATCTAAATGGAATATCCGCTCCTTGGTTCGAGTGCAAAACATCAAGATATAAAGACTGACCGCACTCATATAGAGACAAGTTCAAGGAGAGGGGTACGAACTTTGGGTTGTTCTATAGATACGGCCGAAAGTTGGAGGATCAGGTTCTCGAAGCACGTGGCGTGAGAGCGAACTCCAGGATGGGGCAGATCCAAAACGAGCTCGGCGAAAGATCCCAAGCAGCTGATGGCATCCAACCATTTGGCACTTATCAAGATAGGTCCGACGGTGATTTTGAGCCAGGCCATAGAGCTTTCCAACCTCAACTTGCTCCTCCCGTACAAAGTTGGTATAACCTCACTCAACAACGTTTGCAGCAGCAGCAGCAGCAGCAACAACAGGGGGTCCAACAGCAGATGATGCAATTCCAGATGATCCGACAACAACAGCAGTTATTGCAGCAACAGGGGGTCCAACAGCAGATGATGCGATTCCAGATGATCCGACAACATATAGAACAAAATAGACTGCAGATGATCCAAAGACATCAGATACAACAAGATGCACGCCATCAGATGTACCTGCAGACGATGCACCTACAGATGATGCAACGTCAGCCAGAGTCACAACAGCAGCCGGCGTTGCAAGAGCAGCCAGCGTTGCAACAGCAGATGCAACAAGAACAAGAGGTCGCTGATTATTTTTATCAGAAGGCTCCTGTAGTGACCGTGGAGGAAGTGGAGGCAGATGATACAGAGGCTGCGTGATGACAAAAATAGCGACATAGTAACTTGACGAGGAATTGCGATCCGCTCATTGAATAGCACCGTTGGGCGTATGAGCTGCAGTCGGATACTGGTGAAATATTGCAATTTGGCACTTAACATTGGAGAGCATATGCGATCCATTTACTACAATGGCAAATTTGATAATACAGTCTAGCACTACCACCATTTGGTAACAGTGATATTAATGCATCCTTGCCTAAAAACCCCAAAGTGCTCAAAATCAATTTCTACCTGAACGCCGCCCATCGGCTTCCACTTGGATTGATATACATGGTACACAACAGTCACTTATTTAATATCTCTTTCCATCTCATAACTGAACCCCCCCTCCGCGTCCACCACTTATTCTCTACTCGAAGTCTGGTGCTTTTGATGATACCAACAAGCCGATGATGAGACCGAAAAGTCCCAGTACAGAACTGAAGATTTCGATAACTAAAATCTTTACGAACCTGCCACAAATTAGCACGTATAAGCATAATCCAGATGCCGATTCTACTTACAAGCTCGGATCAGCCGCATCTGCCAAAGCAGCACCGCTACCATTGATGCCCACGGAAACACCGCATATCAAGTTGCACATTCCCACTGTTATGCCGGACCAGAATAGAGCATATCCAGTGTAGTAATTGCTGGCAGAATACATATTCTCGCTCTCCATGATGCCGAGCTTCGAGGAAAAGACAATCGACATAATGACGCCGTAAATGGCGACTACCTCGCAGAAGATGATGGAGATAAGATTCTTGGTTCGAATACGAGGAGCTCTAACACCGCCACCGAGGATCGAAGAACCGGTTATAAGGATCCCCCTACATACATTGTGAGCTGAAATCCGAGGAAGAGGGGCGAAATTGCTGTGTACCATGCTGCCCCAACAACTGACAATCCTATACACATGCCAATACCCATATCTGCCCACGCATACGGCGATATCTCTTCGAGGAATTGTCCGACCTATCACTCTTATTAAACCTCATTCTTGTTGATTCGCCTTTCCAAGATCATACATTGAAAGCTTCTCCATCACCAGTAAAGAGCATATCTAACAGCATCCGTTAGCTCTAAATCATCGAATGAAGTCGGACTTTCAAAGCTTACAAGCCCCAACTACTGCCAATGCTGAGGTAACACCACCGACTCCATAAGTGAGACTCATCTTATCCAGATAATTTTCGTCGACAAATTGAAAGGTAATGAGTGATTTGATTATTCTAGACGAAGCTATGCATCGAGAGAGGTCGCTACTACTAAACATCATCAAGAGCTCAAGCGATAGAGCAACCTTAATCGCCAACCGTAGCTAGCGCCAAACTTTGCGCAATCAGCCGCTTACTTCAGCCTCCCTCCATATATAAACAACAACCCATCAACAACATCATATTTCTCTCTTTGACCGCAAATCTCAGGAAATATTCATACAAGATGGCGGCTCCACAGTCTTTCTACGAGCTCTACCGCCGTAGCAGGTACTGTGCCTTTTTGCTACACAAGTACACAACATTTCTGCATTTACTGACAAAGTATTACACTTATAGCATCGGCATGGCGCTTACAGATACACTTGACGATCTGATCAGCGAGAGACGTATCGAGCCTCAGCTCGCGATGAAAATATTGGCAAATTTTGATAGGAGTATCACAGAGGTTTTGGCAGATAAAGTGAAGGCGAGGTTGACGTTCAAGGTATATGCGCTCCATGCTGGAACTGTGTGGGGAACATTGTTCTTTGGCGCTGGGAGTGTCAATGAAAAAGCATGTTGGCTAACTGGATGCTGAAGGGACATCTCGACACTTATCGTTTCTGCGATGAGGTTTGGACTTTCTTGATCAAGGATGTGACATTCAAGATGGAGAACTCGAGTCAGTCGGTCACGGCAGATAAAGTCAAGATTGTGAGCTGCAACAGCAAGAGGCCTGGTGATCCTCAGTAAATAAGATGTGAGGGAGGAATATTTAAGGGAGTGCGACATATTCTTATCGGGGGGGGAGGGAGGCAATGGTAGTTGAGAGTAGATCACCGAGAATGATTTCCGCAATGATCAAGAATGGTATCCACAGATTGGGCTCTTCAATGCATTTGGAGAAAGGATATCTCAGGCGTACATTGGTTTTTTCGTGGCGTTCTGGCAGGCACTTTTTCGGACAATGAGGAAAGCATGGCTGCTACCTCGTTCGTATACATCGGCACATTATCAAAATCATAGAAGTCGCAATGCGATGCTAATTGTATAGCAGAATCATACCAATTCTGACTAAAAGATATCTTCATTGCAGTCTCACACTATGCTTCACCAAATTGATCAGCATACAAAATGAGAAAACTAAGAGCCACCCCGGCAGATCTTTCCAATGTTTGCCATGAAGATTGAAAAGATGCTGTCGGGGAAGAGAACATATCTCTCACCACAGAGTTTCGTTTCCCTTATCGAAACCATTGGTCCAACATAGGCCACAATGTCTTTTTTGAGTGGAATTGAACATGTGCTAGGGACGTTGAATTATTGTTCTATCCAACTGCTCCAATATTGTAATCTTACCCTTAGCCGCATCACTGATCTCTTTGACATAGTTAGTATACACCTTTTAGTTTCATGTGTCTTCCTTCTCCTTAAAATCATTCACAACTCTCATCTATCCAACACTTGACTTACTATCAAACGCCAGCTGAAGCACAAACATCAAATCTGACTTTGAGAGAAAATACCGTATTTCTTGATTTCTTGTTTAAATCAATTTCTTTCCTTGACATTTGCAAACTTGAATGCGGAGGGGAACCGTTTTGCTCTTGTGAATTTTGGCGCTATTCGACACTTTCCGAGGGCATATGGCATGGCATGTCATGTCATTTCGATGGATCTGTCCTTTTCTTATAACTTGTCATATGAAAGTCTCCGCATCTCCTTGTAATAAATCTCTTTTCATCGGGGTGATTCTCCTTTTCAAATTTCGAGCATTAAAATCATGTATTGTCCTTTGCCAATGTCAAGGACGCAGGCAAACGGAGAAGGAATTGAATACCTATGCATTCAAGATTACTATCTTTTTACACAATACATTTCGAGCAGAGCGAGCTGAGCGGGCTTGGTTCGGGGAACAAACGAATATAATAAGATTCCAAACCTTCCTCTCCAGCTGGCTGAATTCCGCTCACTACAGTATGACCACCAGACATGTAGCAAGATGGATGATAATTGACGACGAGAAACCTCAGCAAGAACTTCGATCAAATAATATGAAGCCAAATAATAATAATAATAATAATAAGCACCAAGCCGTAAGGTTGTATAGGTACTTGAATCACAGCCAACCATAACATATACCGCCCAGCAAAGAAACATCATATATATTCACTAGTTTGCACACTACCCTCACCAAACATATCCCTGTGGTACAGTGGTATACGCCTCCACCCAAGCCATAGTAATCGGGGCCCTCTCAATCGGGCTAACTAGGGGACAGTCTGGTACAGTCATTCTATAGTACGAAGTTGATTGGAACATAAGAGCTGAGAGGCTCTTAAGTTTTGCCATTTTGTTTTGTTCTTCTTCTTCTTCATACTTTTTTTTTCTTTTGGGTTTGGTGACTCGTTCGCTTCGTGAGAGCTTCATAAAAGATAATTGTGGGGCTTTCGGTTGGCGACGGTGATGTTGGGAGAGGGTCTGCCCGGGTGACGATCTAGAATGATGATGCGCACATGTCCTTTCTACTTACACCGATTCTTTGATTACTTGCGAGGAGGATACTGGGTTGCTTTTAACCGCACATTGCTTGTATTGCTGGTATTGCTTGTTACATCAGCTGATTCCAGCTAGAAGACTATTGAGGGCGCTTCTATGAAGATTTTGAAACGCAAGAGTCAACAAAGCATCTAATATCTGTAAGCAAGGCAATGTAACCTCTAGTTTTGACGATACCAAAAAGGTAATTGGTTGGCTTGGGAAGTCAAGACAAAGTAAGTGTCTTTCTTCAATATTCACATTCTCATCTCATCTATACTCTCATACACCCATTCAGCAATACCCGTCCCAAATTCCCTCCTACCTCGCCTCCAAAAAGGTGGACCCCCTCAAAAAGAATTCCAAAAGGGCAAAACTGACCCGCGCAATGCGGGTTGGTCCCAATCAACCTCCGGTATTGAACACGGCGACTGTATCCTACTAAATCCGCGCCTTTTTTCCCCTTCTGATTTTACCCCCTCTTGATCTTTCTCTTAAACCCCCTGATTCACCTGTACCAACCAGGCGCGGATATTTCGGTGATGAAGATGCTCTGTTTCAAGTTTATGTTGGTAGGTACGCGAGAGAACTTGTAAGATTTCATAGTAATAATGAGCACATGGACTGCAATGCTTTTATGCTCTTGGTCTGGCTGCTCTGTATTCATGTAGATAGAGGGCTTTTCTGCACCTACACGATATGAAAGGATAACATAGACTGAATGCCGGCTTGTTGAAGTTGAGATCATCGTGAGAAATTGTGGCACTCTGTCTAAGCGAAGGGTATGGAGAGATTATACAGACTGAATATGGATAGGCATGTTAAGATAGAATCTATGGAGAAATGTACAGCATTCAAAAGAGTATTGATATCGAGATGCCAGGGGTCAAATATACATCAATCGCAATTCATAGTTCACACCGTGATGCAATTTTTATTACTTCTGTCAATTACAAATTATACTATGCTACAAGAAGTCAAAAATAATCCGTCCCTATTAAATAATGCTAGAGACTCAGACTAAGACCTTTAATTACCAGTTGACATTTAGGTTACCCCCAGATCATTCCTTTAACGATTCTTGATCGCCTCCATAGTCTTCGACACAATGGGACCATCATTTACTAAGATATCATCCCAATACTTCTCCATCATCCACTCCTCATAAGATTTACTCTTCGCTTTGAACGTCAGCTCCTGGGCTCCATCATCTTCACACCCGCGATATATCCGAACCCTTGAGAGCAGGTATAGTAGCCAGTAGTTTTATCGGAACACCTAATGTTTGGTGCATATAATTGACAGTGACTTCCACTTGACTAGCTTCCTTACCACTTGCCTTCGGCCTTATGTCATATATCTCTTGCATGGTCAAGTAACTGTTAGCGTCGTGTGCTAGGAGTTTGATACCTAGTTACTCTTTCTCGACGTATTCGGTGATGGCGGCTTTGGATCCCTAATGCAGAGAGTTGCATTTACCGCCAGTCATATCATTCATAGACAGAAGAACTGAATAGACAAATCGTTCCATTATCGGTACTTTGGATGCTACTAGTACAGCCTTGAATTCCAGTGGCGCCAATCACGACAATCATCTTTTGAATAGTAGTAGCCATGACTTTTTGACGAAATCAATGACAAGAATCAAGAAGGAACAATGGACTCTTGGTTTAAGGGTGAAGAATAGACCTTTAAGAGTGGCTGTTGCGACATATTTCTTATACTCCTTCTCAGTTGAGCTTTCGCAATCAAATTTTAACTATACGACCGGGGTTTTCTGGCTTACTGTCCGCTTTGCATAATCATATCGCCGTGGACCTTACCGTCGTCGGAGCGTGGAACATCTTTGAAGTCATGCGAGTTTCTCAATCCCGGAGATTCAACCACACCATCCAGCTACTGGTCCTTGACACAGATGGAGGCTCCAATGCCACAGGCCTTGCCAGGTACCCAGCTGCAGCAACTCGTTCCGTCGATCATGATTTTTGCCAGAATGCATTAGATGGAATAACAACCCATCAAAGCCATGATCTTGAAAGGGGAATTACTCCCGTATATGCAGAATTACCTCTTAGTCATAAATTTGAAAGGTATCTCGCAAAACGCCGTCGTGCCAGTCCGCCTACCTAATCCACGAATAAATTCCATACAATTTTCTCAGACCAACTTTGTTCTGGCATGCATACATAATGCTTGCAGTATGGGATTTCTTCACCATGCTAATGACAAAAGCACCATGATAACATAATGCCTCGCTTCCTCACCTTTTTACCGACTCGTTAAGCCATCCAACGACCCCAGAGAACTTCTCGCGACAGTCACTCAGCCATCAACTCCAATCCATCTTAGACCTACTCTATCAAAAGTGCTCTATCCGCACCCAGCTTTCATGGACCTCATCCCAATACCAACTCTCCGGGAATATGCCATTACTATAGCAGCAATTCGACCGTAGTCTTTTGACACGTGGGAAGTGAAGAAAGGCATGGTTCTTAAGCATGGACTCGTAAGATTGCATTGGAGTAGCGCTGGGTCTCGGGGAATGGGCGAAGGCAGAGCGTACCTGGGTATCTGAGAAGTGGGAAGCAGCACCGTAGTTCCAACGACAATCGCGCTATTTAGTCGACGGAAAGGAGAGAGAAACGTGAAAGCAAAGTTTGTGGTGGCAGAGAGTGAGAGGATGGAGATGATCAGGTTTCGAGTGGCATCTCGTTATAATGCAGTTGTTGTAATGGAGTAGAATTAATTTGTAATAGAATTGTAATTGGACCTATCTAAAAAACTAAAGCTGCTGATTCGAACATCATCATACACAAGATTTTGGTATTCTGTATAAAATTAATCTTGTGGGCAGGAAGGGGGAAGGAGCGACGACGCACTCGACTCACTAGTTCAGAAAAGGCAATGTTTTCCAAAAATCTCCTTGAACCAAACAACCTGTACAATTATTTGAATTATTTGATGACAATTATCAGACTCATAGAACCACCAACAAAATCCTACAGTAACATATCAAAAACATTGTACTCGAGTACAATCAAAGCATCGGCCCAACAACTCATCATTATTTCCGGGCACCGTAACTTACTACATCACCCTAACCAACACCTCAAACAAAGGGAGAACAACCTACCGCGACCCTAAACATAAGCAAACTCTAGGCTCTCCTCGCCATGCTCCGCACTACCAAACGCAAAACGCAATCCTCGACCCTCTCCTCCACAACCTCCGCCAATGAATCCGACAATCGCGAGCTCTCGGACACCAGCGCCGGTAGAACCTCAGCATTCACTTCCGACAATTGTCGCGACGGAACCGGTTCCACGATGCCCGCTACCATAGTGGCCGAGGAAGCCGATGGTGGAGTGCTAAGTGTGGATGATCCTCGTAAACCCCTCTTAGGCACAACATTTGCAGGGGTTGATGGTACCAAGATGAGTAGGGCTCGGGCTAAGAATAGGATTGTCAATGGTGGTTCTTATAATACAACTACGATTACGAAGTCAACATCTTCATTACATCGTGAAGCGAGAGACGAATCAGATCGAGAAGGAGAAGACGACGACGACGACGACGAGGAGGAAGAAGAACAAGAAGAAGAAGAAGAAGAAGAAGTAGTAGTAGAAGAAGAACAAATGATGGAGAATATTAGTCGAAAATCGCAATGGATTTTATTGGCTGTGGCTAGTGGTGCTTGTGCGGCTTTCAATGGTGTTTTTGCGAAATTGTGAGTTGGGTTTATTCGTTTATTGTGACATCATATCATATCCGTCGTACGGGCTTTGTGATGCTATAGATAAAAGGGTATAGGAGATGAGAGACAGGCGATCTATTGATATGTGCGTGCTTGCATTGGAATAGTTTCTTGTCGCAAAGCTATGCGGAAGGAACGGCTATGTCATTGCTAGGACCAATGCGCTGACACCTTTTTCAACACAGAACAACTACACAATTAACGACTTCTTTTGCAGAGAATGTTGCAGGTTTTTTTGACTTAGGAGAGGGTGAAAAGGTTGTTGAATATGGCGTGCGAGGGGTAAGTTTCTGTCTGTCATTCGATCGATGGATAGTGTCTCTGGTGGTGCCCATTCATGTTGAAATGGAACACCAGTATAACAACAAGATACCCTAAACTTACATTTGGCTAACCTATGGCGGTAACAGATATTTTTCCTCCTCAACCTGGTCTTTAATGGTATAATGTGGACGTTATTTACCAAAGCCCTCGCGCGCGGTACCTCGACCGTTCAAGTCTCTATCATAAACACATCATCAAATTTCATGATAACAGCCGTCCTTGGCTTTATAATTTTCTCGGAAAGTTTACCACCATTGTGGTTTTTGGGCGCAGCATTATTGGTTGCAGGGAATGTGATTATTGGAAGGAGAGAAGAGGAAGAAAAGGGGGGTATTAGTGGGCACGATGTAGAGAACGGCGAAGGGAGGAGAAGAAGCTGGAGTGGAGGGGAAGAAAGGCTAGGGCTTTTGGGGGAAGAGCTAGAATTGGGCGGAGGAATTGTGGAGGGTGAGGATGGGGATGATAAAAGAGATGAAGATGTTTTGGATTTGGGATTGGATGACGAAGGGAAGAGCGACGAGGAGGAGGATTTGTTGATCCATTAGTTGGATTGTTCATTACTTGTATAGATATATGTACATGAAATATCTGGTATGAGATGATATGGGTGGCAGTATATTATTTGGCATTCGATTTGGATACGGGCCAGTATATTATAACTATACCCAAATTCTCACACGATTACTGATAATACCCTTAAAACTTACTCAAAGGAGCAGAAGATTGGTTGAACACAGATACTTAAGTATCTTTATGATATGTCGTAGATTATAATGACTGCAACAGGATAGACAGTGGTCCCGGTGAATAACCTAGGAATTTTGCAGCTCATCGGGAAAAGTCACTTGGGTTAGAAATGGGGGAGGGGGGGAAAATCCACTCCTAGTGAAGTTTGAGTGTCCAGTCAACAATGAGATGAAGTGGTTTTGGAAAATGCAATATATGTTTGTATCTATTTATCAACTACGAAATCTCTTTTTCTTTTCTTTTCTATCTATCCTTCTAGAGTATGCTTTAATTCCTTTATTCTTCTAGATTCACATATATCACTACTACCTAGCTCTATACATCCCTATCCTATGAAATTTAAACACCCTGCAGGTCGGGCCCGGTATGACTCCTACCCTTCAGGGCATATAATCTTGTATATCGAAGAATCGTCAGACACGTCATATCTACTCTACGGATTTATGGAAATGTCATGGCATACAATTATTTAATATAGAATTGTTGTTTCTATACAAAGTAAGGCCTGTGATCTATTTAGACGCGTTGAGGCGAATAGAATCGTCTCATCCCCCATACATACACCCACCATAAATATAAAATAGCTCCATCAAACCTCCCCCCATCAACCCCTCAGCCTCAACCCAACAACCTCAAAACATCTCCAAACCTCGTTTCCTTCCCCTTTCCCCTGCCCTCCTTCGCCTTCTCCTGAAACGCCTTCCCCACCAACTTTCTCTTCTCCCCCTGAATCTCCAACACCCTCTCCTCAATACTTCCCTCCATCACCAATCTCCAAACCTTACATTCGCGCTTTTGTCCCAGTCTATGCACGCGATCAACCGCCTGATCTTCGATTGCTGGAGCCCACCAGGAATCCGCCAGGATAACCGTATCGGCCGCAACGAGATTCAAGCCCACGGAGCAAACCGCCAGACTCGCGAGGAGAATGCGACATTCGGGGTCGGATTCGAGGGCTTGCATGCCTTTATCGCGTTGTGGGGCGCTCATGGAACCATCGTTGCGAGCGAATTTGTAGCCGGATTGCTCGAGTAGTTTTTGGACGATGTTGAGAAAGGAGGTCCATTGGGAAAAGATGACGACTTTGGAGAGAGGGTCGTTATGTGTAACCTTGATGATTTGCATGAGAGCTTCGGTTTTAGAAGATTGTTCACTTGTGTTGATTTCTTCATTTTCTTCTGCCTTTTCAACGGCGGGATGGACGAGACATTCGTTGTTTGCGAGATGGGCACGACACATAGGACATTTGTGTTGGAGATCAATGGTGCGCTCGATACATTCTTGTCCGAAGGCGTGTTTGCAGGTTGTGATGACGGGGTTATGCAGTTCTTCGAGACAGATGGAACATTCTTCATGGCTTTCGATGCTGAGTTGAAGGAGCATTTGCAGGGCGAGTCGATTCTCGTCGTTTAGAACGACCACATCATGTTTCTCGATGGCTTCCATGAGGCTTGTAACTCTGTTCTCGCAGAGTTTCCAGTGATTACACACTTGACGCATGCGAAGGAGGATCTCAAGAATATGACTGTATGTGATTGTATTCTTTTTGCGAGATTCTGATTCCTTTTGATATTGTTGAGCCATACCTTTGGCTTGTTCACTATTTTGTTGTCAGCTGAAGGCAGGAGAGAATTCAATACCAGTACATACACCAAAGCTTCATAAATCTTTAATTCATCATTTCTGAACTTGACCTTGTGGACAAACTCTGACAGCTCAGGCAATTTCAGGTCGATGAACTTCATATCCTTCTTACGTCGCAAGCACAGAGCTCTCATTGTTGTTTGCAGAAGCAATTCTGCATCGCGATTTCCTAGTGCCCTAAACACAAGTTAGCACAAGCAAACTTTATGATGCTCCTATTTTGTATTGCTTGAAGGGGCTGAGTCAGAACACTTACAATGGGCGGGTAAAGTTGGCATTGAAGATCTCAAGCTCTTGAAGGCCACCAGTGATGCCTAAGAATTTGAGCATCGAGTAGAAGTCCTTGATAGTGTTGACAATTGGGGTTCCTGTTAGTACCCATTTCGAAGTTGCAAGGATACTCGATGCTGCCGTGGCACTTTTTGTCTTGTGGTTACGGATGAGATGACCCTCATCCAAAACGATTCTGCGCCAGTTCATCGAATACAATCCAGAAACAGCTGGGACTTTTGTGGGGTTCTTTGAACCACGAGGGTATAATTCTGCGTTGAGTGTACCATATGTAGTGATAACAACATCGTATGCTCCGAAGTCGTTGTAGGTCATTCCCTTGACCTTGCCTTGGCTGCCATGGTAAGTCAAAACTTTCAAGGATTTGTCTTTCTTGACATGGCTTTCCATTTGTTGTGCCCAGTTTGACATAACACTGACGGGCGCAACGATCAAGGTTGCACCTGTTCCACCTTCAAGAATAAGAGAGATAACCTGCAAAGTCTTTCCGAGACCCATGTCATCCGCAAGAATACCTCCTGAGGCCAACTTTGGAGCTTCCGCACAGTAATTAGTTGCGATGTTCTGGTAGGCTCCTCGGTGTTTTTGTGAGGCTCTCCAGAGCTGCACCACTTTATCCGAATTTGCATTTGGCAAGACGGGATTTTCCTTCTCAAGCATCCAAGCTAAGCCTTGGCGTTGATATGGGAGCAATGTAGACTCGAGGGCTTTTGGCTGATCTGCCATGGGCATCTTTGAAAGTGCATCCTCGGGCATGCCTAGTTCTTCGGCCATCTTATCGATTTCTCTTGGGTTGAAACGCTCGCTGTTGGCGACAAAGTGTGCAAGGTCGATTACTGGTTGAGGTACTGGCTCTGGTTGACTAGAGCTACCTCCTTGAGAAGATGTGTAGCCCATTTGCTTTCTCTGCGGGGGTGGAATAGGAGCCTTTGGCTGCAGTGGTGCGGCAACATTTTTTTTCCTCAATGATAATCTCTTAGCCTTCAACTGATTCTCCACTGTGGTGGATTGTTAGTAAAGTTAAATAGGTCATGATATGGAGACTATAAACAAATAAAGTCCAAGAATATAACATACAATTAGCTCTTACGACCGGATCGGCCGGTCCATAAATCTTTAGCAAAACAGGACAATCAAAGGCTCCCTTCTCTCCAGCAAGAATACCCTCTAGAACAATGGTTCTCGCATCCTAAACCCCTCAAATCAGTATACAGTCCATCTCACGCGATATCCAAGATGCACATACCAGAAACCCCGCCAGCTTGAGCGCCAAATTCCTCGGCAAATGTCCAATCTGTGTACCCTGAACATTACTAATTCGAATCGCGTTCGAATCATACGGATTTCCAGGCTCTCTCCTAACGATGACCTGTTCTCCAGGCGACGCATATCCAGCATAATATCTGACGCCCACAATCTTCCCATCAATACTTCCAAGGCACACCCATCCAAAGCCTTCTTCAACCTCTTGACTCAAATCAACAATCTCGTCTTCATCTCTCTCGCCCCATTGATCACGAACAGTCACAGCCTGACTTGAACTTGAAGTTCCCGAAGGACCGGCAGTAGAATTAAGTCTCGGCTGTTTGCGCTGCGGCTGCTGAGCGCGTGGCAACTCATCCTCCGAATCCGATTTTGTTAAATCGACAAAATTGGACGACGCGTTACGTTTTCCTAGATTCGACATGATGAATCCCAAGCCAGTTTATTATGTACAAAGTTTGTTGATGTGAGGGAAAACTTGACGCGTTTGCAGAAGTTCAGTTGATCTACAAATTACAAGGATGCGAAACGCATGTGCACGTGATTGATCTTTTTTATATCCAATCACTCTGTTTGCTGCTTTTGTTTGCTGTGTTTTTGGAGAGCTTTTTTATACTCGAGTAATATCAGATAACG